TGCAGGCTGGAGGGTGTCTGTGGTTTCTGCTGGCCCGGGCTGCGAGGAGGCTGCACGTCCCCGGACACAGCCTGGCTGGAGATTCCTGAGCATTTAGGGATCCAAAGCCTTGAAATTGCAAGAATTAGGATCACAGAGTGGTTTCAGTTGGAAGGGACCTTTAAAGGTCATCGAGTCCAACCTCTCTGCTGCGAGGAGAGACGTCTTCAACTAGATCAGGTTGCTCAGAGCCCCATCCAACCTGACCATGAATGTTTCCAGGGACGGGGCTTCTGCCACCTCTTTGGGCAACCTGTGCCAGGCTTTCACTGCCCTCTTTGCAAAATATTTCTTCTAGTCTAAATCTACCCTCCTTTAGTCTAAAACCATCACCCCCATGTCCAGTCGAACAGGCCCTGCTGAAAAGTCAGTCCCAGTCTTTCTTATACGGCTACAATAAGGTCTCCCGGGAGGGAGGGGAACATTTCTGGGGAGCAATGGGAGACACGCAAGCGTGGCTGAGTCGCCTGGATGGCAGGAGCAACAAGTTGAGCCATTTCATTACGTGGAATTTTTTTTTTTAATTAACCTTATTTTTTGACCATGTGTTGTGGAGACAGCAGGAGGGATAGGACTGCACTTTTTCAACTCCAGCCCCTGGATCTCAGAGGGGTCCCATCAGGTTGCTGGAGCCCCGTGTGTGGGTCTGCACCTCTTGGGGAAAGCTTACGGGATCCCCAGACCTGAAGGTGAAACTCAGTGTGCTGGGAATAATCTCAAGGGGTTTAATTCAGCTCCTGGAGTGTCCTGTCCAGCCTCTTACAACCCAGAAGGGAAGGGGAGGACATGGCTTTGGGGCGTGCTGACCCTTGTCCTGGCAGCAAGGCAAAGGGTCCAGAACGGCGCTGGGGGAGAGCATCTGGCTTGTAATGAGGATTTGTCCACGAGAAAAGTGTCCTGAAAGCCAAGTTGCTGGCAGAGGTGCTGTTAGAAGTGTTTAGAAAGGGATTTGAAAGGCTCAGCTGTGGTTTTGCTGCGAGCAAATCACGATAGCTCCAGCAGTGTGAGGTCCCGCTGACCTGCTCCCCGCAAAACGCTGCGCCCTGGCTTCGGCGGGAGGTGACACGTCAGCCCCTTGCTCCGTCGCTGCTCCGAGTGTCCTGCTGCTGCCCTGCGCCCCGCAGCCTCGGATGGCAGTGGGGGCGGTCACGGCGACACGGTCACGGGCACGATGTCTTTCTGCTTGCGTTGTCAGTGCTTAATCTGAATTAACGTCGGTTGCTTGTGAGTCTGCTTCGGATCACTTACGGTACAATTGTGACTTTTGTTTTCTTTGGCTTCTCTAGATCGTCTCCAGCAAGAAAATAACAAGGACCCTCCTTCTGGGGAACGGCAAGCCAGCCGGGAAGGGCATGATAACGGTACGGTGACTCCTTTACGTTACCTACGGAGGGTGGAAAGGCAGGGAGGAACTTGGGAGCACTCACCCGGGGTCCAGAAGCCCGGGCGTTCTCTCAGGAACGTTTTTCTCCTTTCCCTCCCGTTTTCCTGCCCACTTTGGTCTGTTTGGAGGACAATTGATTTGGGGCAGGGACCATCTTGCCCGGTGTCTGCCTGGTGTGAGGCTTCAACCTCTGCTTTGGTCTCTGGGATAAGGAAAAAAGCCAAACAACTGGATTTGGAGAAGTACATCGTAAATCTCTGCCGCTGCTGTTTGTTATCTGGTACGACAGGGCTGCTCAGCCCTCCCTGGAGCAGCGGGAGGGGAGAGGGCTGATTCCTTCGCCAGCCATGGGGGGGTT